ATGCAGATACATGGTAATACTTAAATGAGAGCAAAATAATAAAAGCATTGAGATACGGTATTAAGTCCATGTTATGCTTTGCACAATAAATAGCTGACCTGACCTTATATTCATGAACTAAAGGTAAATCACAACTGCATAAATTCTTTGCTAAAATACATGTAATTTGGTTATTTATCTATTCCACATTTCTGACTAAATTCATTACTGTTTTCTCATTTAGAATGCAACAGGACTGAGTCTTCAAAGATGTTAAGAACTGTTTCGCCCTTAGAACTATGGCCCTATGGATCTGTTTACGGGAGACCCAACTAACAGCAGATTATAAAAAGGATGCTGGATGTCCATTTTAATCTCACAACCACTTCCAGTACTTTTTGAGTTACTTCTTTTACTCTTTCGTTTGGAAAAAACAACAAAAACTGCAGCTTAACATTACCAATGCAACTTTTAGACTGGAACTTGGTTTAAACCTTTGTTTCATATTCGATTCTTAATGAAAGTTCTCGAATAAATTTTTGAACCTAATGCTACTTTGTTTTATCTACTTAATCGTTGCAAGAAACTTGTGATAATCGAGCCTCTCATCACCTAATTCATGTGTTCAGGTTTCCGTGTCTAGAAGCATGGGATCACCAAAACCTCCAAGCAGGAACCTAGGTATGTTAACAATAAAAGATCCAGTCGCCTCCCAAATGACTCCTGGGAAGTCGCTTGGACTAGTTCGGGGGGCAGCGAATTCCAGCATTCGACAACTCTTAAGGAGTAGAAGTTGTGTCTACAATCCATTCTGCTATGTCATGTCTCTAGTTTCTGGGACTAAGCTCAAATAGGTGTTTAAGAGAATGTCCAGAAGTGTTAAAAATCCTGTAAGTAAATAGGTCACCTCTAAGACGTCTATACTTTAATGAGTAGAGGTTAAGTGATTGGAGGCGCTCTTCATAAGGTGATTTGGTGCATATCTCCGTCACTTTCTCGGGAAACCTACAGGCTCGGGTCCTCTCACAACTTATTCTAGCCACCATGAGTTGCCACGAAAACTGATGGATGGACACGCGTTACACATCCTAACCGTCCCTGCGTCTAGTCTCATAGCTTCTTATTCAAATGTCATATGATAAGCAAGTAATGCTTCTACCGATACTAATGGAACACGAGTAATTCAGAGGCACCCTGTATGGTACTTTACATTGGTCTACGCACTCACTTAGTTCTTTAGTGAGAATATTACTACAGTCCTGCTAAAAAACCCACGAACCCCACCACCACCATCATAACAATAAGTCTGTATTTGCTGCATATAGCAATTTTATTTTTCAGAAGATATAACAGTAAGAATTGGAGTAAAATAACAATATACAACAGATGCACGTGGTACATGTCTTCATCGATCATCTGAAATAGAGAATACGGATATTAGCTTAACATGCTTATTTAGAAAGACTAGTGTTTACTTTGAACTTACTGTGTGAGAAAGTTATACTGGAACTGTGAATAATGTAGGAATCTAGTCTCCCAGGGCGTACGAAGCACTCAAACTGGAAGACAGTTGTCCCAAAATAATTCGAATATGAAGGTGAGAATTTGCAGGTACTTTTCATCGTAAGGGTGAACATATTCGATAACGGTTGACATGACACCGTAAAAATAACAAATTTGCGAGTGGTGAATTATGGTCTATAAAAAGCTGAGCTTAATAACAGTTAGTTACCTTTTTACTCCCTGATCATGACCCTTCGGCTTCCTTATATGGCCGAAACAGCAAACATACACTACACACTGATAGCAGATTTCCGGCTTTTCAATGTTAAGCTTGCTTTAACGCACTACGTAATGCGTACAACCCGTTCATTACTGCTATGTGGCATATTTTTTCATAACAAACCCTCTGCAATAGATTGGTAGCATCAGTGAATTTGTCTATGGTTGTCGGAAGCCTGAGTACTTTCGAAAACAATACTGACATCCCCTACGGCTAGACACTAAGTATTAGTTTGACTCATTGGTGGGATATTGTTGTCCGCAATACTGAAGAAAATTAAAAACCGGAAATTGTTTCCTTTCATTTTGCCGATAACATCATAGAGGACAGTTAGGAATGAACATGCGGACAGTCAGTCACAGGACGCAGCAACAGTTATTTCAGCTAAAAAACGAACTTTCGCTTTTGATATCTTGAAAACAAGTCGAAACTAAACCGATTTTCATTTTAAAACATAAGACTAACCAGCTTGACTGAAGAAATACATTGACTAGAGTAGAAGCAGCAAAAACCCAAAAAACAATGCTGATTCGAAGTAAATTTCACACCAACATGTAGAACCCTACACTAACTGCGGCATTTTAGTACATTGAAACATTAATTACACAGCTACACAAAAGAAATAGCTAAAAGAAGCACAGAACGAAGAAAGCCGGCCGCCATTACGCACAACGATGGCGGATATAATAATTCCCGCCACATTCTGATTGGTTGCTAAGCTGAAAGGCACATTTACGAAATTGAGTTGCGTTTAATTGCAGCCCAAAAGATTCACTTGGGTGGTGAGCAACAAATGCGTCAAACTGCTAATAAATTGGAATAAAAACTACGTAACAATTACAAACATTACGAAACTTCACGTGTGATGGAAAAAAGGCTGTTTATAGATGATAAATAACGACCAAAAAAATCCATGACAATATGTAACATGTGCGCGAAAACCCCTGACTTACCCCAGTGCCCGTCTACAGTCACACGCAACTGGATTTCGTAAACGTGCCAGTCTGTTTAGTGACCAGTCAGAATGAAGCAGCAATCACTATACCCGCCATCTTTGTAAGCGATGGCGCCCGGCTTTCTTAGTTTTGCGCTTTTTCCGTTATTTCTTTTGTTTACCTACATAATTTAATGTTTCCGTGTGCTTAAATGCAGAAATTAATGTAATATCGCAAATGTTGTAGCAAATATTTTCTGCTTTATCTTTGTTTTCTATGTTTTTGCTGCTGCTACTGGAGTCAGTGTATTTCCTCAGGGAAGCTCGCTAGTCTCATGTGCTAAAATGATAATTGGCTTTGTTTTGACTTGGTTATTGGATATTCAAACCTAAGTTAGTTGTTTTAGCTAAAAATAATTGTTGCTGCCACCTGTGACTAACTGTCTGCATGTTCGTTCCCAACTGTCCATTTTGATGTTGTCGGCGAAGCAAAGAAAACGATCATCGGTTTTTAATTTTCTTAAGTATTATGGACAACACTATACCATCAACGAGTCAAACTAATACTTAGTGCTCAGCAGTAGGGAATATCAGTATTATTTTCGAAAGGACCCAGACTTCGGACATAGACGAAGTAATAGATGCTACCAATCTATTAAACTAATATCCGAATTTTCTATTTCAGTTAATCTATGAAGAAATTGTTTAACGACAGTGATCTTGAAATACGGTCAGAACTTGATGTACAGTCTACAAATAAACATCAAACATACCTATCGCTATCTTATAAGGTATAACAGCAACAGTATCAAAGGCCCTTTTTTCCGGTTTTTAATGAGACTGATTTGAATTAGTATATTCGTTAAAAAAACAGGCAGCTTTACTTAATAAACTGATCGGTTTCGTTACAGGCTTCAAGCACTATACTTAGGTATAATATCATTCTATAGACTAAACTGAATTAGACGACAACCAAGAATAGTAAACTAAGCAAGTGTCATAATTATTGTCTCATTTGCACAGACATGTTACTCAAAGTAGTTAAATGCACATAATTCAGCCGATAAACCCACAAAATGAACTATGGGCCAGTTAAACTTACCTAACAGAAGACAAATGATATTGTTTTGAGACCAAGGACAACAGTCAGTTGTTCATAAAAATATAGTTTGCAGAACAACAAACATTTCTTCAGTAACAATACACACTGATGGTCTATTCGGAAACAGTCAACGATGTGAGTAAACTTACGATGACTCGGGATATAATACAAGCATGCAATGAACGTACAGTGTGACGCAGTCAGACGTGGCGAATAAAAATTACAACCACAGCAAAATTCACGGCATAATCAACATATTTATTAAAGAATACGTTATGAAATGACAAATTACATCAGTACATGAACCCAGACATGACCGTTATTGCAATGGGCAATACAGTAGGCTTACATGGAAACTTGCGGATAAATCCACCACATTTTTCAGTACACGTAACCGAAGTATCATCACTAGGAACTTCGACATTAAAATATCGTGTAAATTTGTGTTTAAAGTGCAAGTGAACACATTATTGTTCTGCCCATGTTATTCCCGTTATTTCAGATGATTTCGGTTCACATTGTTTGACGAAAATTTTATTTATGTTGGGTAATTTTTTGAGTGTTCAACAATACAAAATAATCACTAAATTAGGACGACAAATCATCTGCTGCAAATACTCAACTCCTCAGGGCTTTTCGTTAATACATCATTCCATACTTTGGTATGCTAGGTGTCATGCCATGTCCCACGGATCCACTCATAGCAAGGTTATTAAGTAGATCAGTGTACAAAGTGTGTATGAGGGGGTTTGTATGATCCGATGGAGTGAGCGTCTTTATGGCGCATATAATTATAAAATAATTTTAAAATACCTAGGATTTACCATAATCGTACTTTATCCCTTGCTACTGCTTCCTCATAATACTGAGTATTATGTAATAAACCTTTACTTACTAGTTGGATGCCGACACAGATTTTAGAAGGTTAGAAGTACAGACATATGTCTTTGCACTACAGACATTCTTCTCCAATATCCGGAATATTGTTGTATGGCTCAATAGGATTACACAATTCAGAGATAATTTAACATAATTCGAAACAGCATTTCATGCAATATTGATCTCTTACTTTTTTAATACACAGATTATTTATATTTCGGCAGATTGAGCTTTAGACAACTGTCTGTTTAGATACGTCAATTTTACGTTCAGGTGCCTAAAATGTACTTTTAAGGCGCTACTTACGGTTATGTGACTGAAATATGGGTGAAAGGACGGACGACAGTGATGTAGTGGTCACAATAGGAGTTTGTGCAATGGCAAAGAAAGCGATGTCAAAACCAATGAAGGAAATTTTGAGAAGAATGGACAAGTTCCAGCACATTAAGATAATAATATTTGACGAGAAAATGATATTAGATTCACCAATAGAATCATGGCCCATCTGTGATGCACTGGTCAGTTTTTATTCTGAAGGATTTCCTCTCAAAAAAGCTATTGCTTATTCGAAACTCCGGAAGCCTTACCTTGTCAATGATCTTGAGTCCCAATACATTTTAATGGATAGAAGAAGGGTTTATGAGTGCTTGACGAGAGAAGGTGTTCCAGTTCCGAGATACGCATTTGTTGATAGGACATCAGAAAACCCAGTGAAAGTTGTTGAGCTTGACGATTCAATTGAGGTTAGTGATTTCCTCTAAAGACCCAAAGTATATTTTATTAGCTGACTTTTCCGTTAGGCTTTATTTTTAGGTATACAGTATTGAGTAGCACTTAATATTGTAGTGCGGGTAAGACTATGTGTTCTGGAATAATAGAGTTACAGTTAATAGATAGATTTGTACATTGAGATAAACCTCAGCACTTCCAATTGTAAACCTAAGAAAATTCTACGGGACTATTATTTATGGACGAACTAGTCAAATTTAAGTTAGCATGTCTTGAATTTTGGCCCGAAATTTATTCAACCATTTAGTTAAATATCATTTCTGCACCATAGCTTATTATCGGTTTGCGTTGTTGAGCATTCTTAGGTCACTTGAGCGTTACTCAAAGGTCCTTCATAAATCATAGTCCCACAGGAAATTCGACTGGCGTGTAACTATGTTTTTTATTTGTTACGACGTAGTAGATCATGTGTAAAGAAACAGGGTTAGCCGGGGTCTTAGAATCAGATTTTTATGCTTTCTGACTGTTTCTATTAAACCAATCCATAGCTTTTAATTAATCAATCCTACCTCAAATACATCAACACGCACCACCTTAAACTGGAGATTAACGTCTTGCCACTTTATTTTGCATGTTATGTATTATCAAGTTGGCTTTAGAATTTTCATGATTAGAATGTTGTTTTCAGGCTGTTAAAGGTTTTTCCAACCCTTCCTAACATATCTGAGAAGAAATTCAAACTCATGGAACTTCAGCTTGAATAAAATTATGAATATAATTAAAATATTAACGTAAAATCTCGATCAGTCATATGTATATTCACAAACGTAATTTCTCTGTACGTGTGTAACTTTCGTGAGCAGAACGAACATTGATTGGATGTGGTCAACCAATTTTATTGTTGGAGGCTAGTTTCGCTTCATGCTTACACCTAATAACCTGACATATAGTTCTAGTTAGCCAGGTTTTCATAACCTGAGGAAATCAGAAAGGTAACGCTTAAAAGTCCTGGTGGGATTGATTAGTTGTACTTGAAAAAAATGTTTTGGATGAGGTTTTATAAAATTGTCGCATATATATATAGTTTAGCTTAGTGTGAAGTAACTGGATGAAAAGAACCACCTCATAAATTTGCTTGTAAAATATTAGGAAATAATATGAATATATTCATCGTGTTCACTTTTTGTTCTGTCTACTATATTAACAAAACATCTTTTATTTTTTGTTAAGTGTTTTTGATTACTCTGGTATTCCTCTATTAGATTTTTAGTAGATAGTTACTAAATATTTTATGTGGGCTGTCAGCAGGACCAGCTACCGCTGGCGTGGTTGTGTACAAGACTGCCGCTCCTTTTGGAGTACCTATCTGAACTCTGATTATGCCCTTGTCTGCACCAATCTTACCTTACTTTTCAGTGGCCAACGAATTCATCGTCCTATACGGATTGATGTCAGTAAACTGATTGCGACTTCTGTTGTAACTAAATATCAAACCGAGCTAGATTCAAGGCTAGCTATCATCCCACCGAAAAGTATAGGTAAACATGCCAATCTGGGCTATCTTTGGCGCCTTCGTGATGTCAATCTGGCTGTAAAAGGTCTGTTATACAACGCGTCGGTGAGAGCAGTTTTGCTCTATGCTTGTGAAATCTGGTCTCTTAGAGTTGAATATGTTAGACGACTCTCTGTGTTTGATCGTCGTTGTCTCCGAAGGATTTCTGACATCCAGTGGCAAAACCATGTTAGTAATGCGGAAATTCGGCATCGTGTGTTCGGGCACAGAGACGATAATCCAGTTGGTGTCACCATCTTGAAACATCGACTTCGGTGGCTTGCACGTGTTCTGCAAATGTCGTCCCAGAGAATTCCACGTCGTGCATTATTTGCCGACGCTGAGACTGGTTAGAAAAAGCGGAGAGGTGGTCAGTGTATGACATGGTGTCGTATTATGAAAGAAAGCTGTACAAGACTAGCTTCTGTTGGTCCTTCACGACTCACTGGTTGAGGTCCTAGAGATAGTGCAACACAGTGGCTAGAGACGTTATCAGATATGGCTCAGAATAGAAGCCAGTGGCGATCCTGCTGTAACCTTTTACTTTTTTCATAAAAGTGAGGGTAACTTCATTAACTGAGAGGATTCTTTCTGGTCGAACTTTTCTGTTTCTCCCATTATTATTATTATTATTATTATTATTTCACTACTATACACTAATTTGTGGTCGTTATTCTTCTTTTTTATCTTATACGCGCCTTACATTCTTTATCTCTTCTCATTCTGGTTATTATTGTGTGGCGCATATGTATCTGGTTCCCCCTTGTACCAATACTTATGTGTTCAAATAAATAATTAATAACTGTTTTCTCAGATTTTCTGTATATACTCGAGTGATGTAAAAGCCTTTATGTTTATAGTCTGCTTAAGAGGACACAGTACCAGTACCATTTATTTTTATGATGTAACATGTATTTATAGAAAAAAAATTCACAAGAAAGCACGCACATATACTTCGCAAATTACTGTCTTTATTAAAATCATTATGCTGCAAAATAAGCTATTGATAAACTGTACGTAAACGTAAACTTTTCTGTTTAAAAGATAGTTAATAAACGTTTTCATATCATAATTATCTTATATTTATTTGATTGACATGAATTTACTGAAGATATCAAATACCTAAAACTTCACTGTGTTTTACTCAAGAATTGTAACATACGATTGATAAAAATAACACATGTGATAATGTCATTAGCAATTTTAGTTTTTGTTTTTATGTATAATGTGCTAAAAAAAGGATTTTTATAAAACGTCATTTAAATTCTTAGCATAAATATGATTTAAATTTGTCTTTGCATTGAATCAGAATTGGCAGATAATGTAGAACTCTTCATTAACCACGTGAATATCTCCTTCATGACGACCAAAAGAAAAGCGAATAGTGGCAGAAATGCGGCAATTAAAAGTGCCATTTGATATGAACCTCTAGTGTCATATATTTTGCCTGTAAAAAAAATAAAAGATTTATGAAAATGCCAAAAACAAAATAAGTTTAGCAAAAACTCTCGCAAAATTTAATATGACTAATGCAAAAATACTTATTTAACAGAGCTTTAAAGTGTTACCATTTTAAGTACTCAAGTCAAACTGTTCAAGCATTTAAGTTTTTGAGAAACGTATATATATATATATATATATATATATATATATATATATATATATATATATATATATAATTCACATTTAGTAGGTATCCTAGTTAAGAGAAGGCAGTATTTACAGTAAGATGTTAAACAAAGTAAGATAGTGTTATATCTAAAAATGTGTACGCTTATCATTTTTATGAATTCAGACTTTGATAATGATAACAGTAAACGAAAAATTCACATATTTATAATGTAGAAATACTGCACTATGTTACGGTACGTAAATTGTTTAAACAATACACCATCAGTAAATTCGTATTACAATGTGTGATCGACGAAAATCAATTAGCACAATAAATAGCCAAAATGATTTTTTTCTAAAACAAAATCTAACTTACGTTCTTGTAAATACTCACGTAAGCTATTTAAAGTTATCATGGACATTTTCACTGTTTCCAACCGAAGTTGACATATGTGAGCCTGGTGTTATTGTCGCAACTGCCTATCGCAATATTTAAGTGGTGACTATGTAAATACAAGCATAAACTGCATCATTTATTAATACAATATCTGTTAGAGAGATAAGTGAATATTCGTTAGAAAGGAGAAGAAAGTAAAGAGCTAAATGATCAGAATCTCTCAAACTGCCAACATAAATAGCAGACAAGCAAAATGACCAAGGTTATATTGAGTTCTAAATTGTCACTCAACCACCAAACTTATCGTTTATTAAGATTCAACTTAATTCACACTTTCCAAAATAGTAAAGCGATAATAGCGAATACAAAACACTTAATTGAAGAAACCATTCAGTCCAGTTTTCATTGTTCTAATTGAGTATCTCTATGAGACTTCTAAAGATTAGGTAGAGATTTTTATAATTACAGGTTGATGGATTGAAGAAAATGTAGAAACTATCGGCTCAATTATACGGCCTCTTACTCAAAGCAATTTTAACGGGACTAGTCAATTGAATTAACTGACAAACAGTTTATTGAAATACTTAGATATTTTTAAGCCAACATACAAGTGACCCAGAAGTACAATTCAAATGATGTTTTCAAATAAAAATCTGTATTCAATTTCTTTCGACAAACTTTCTAGAATTCTTCATGTCCTGAAGAAAGAAACGACTAAATTTATAGCCAGAAGATAAATTGATTAGTTACTACCTTATATGACTTCAGTGTCATTACAAAAAAACGAAAATTGTTTCTTAAAAAAGGAAATCATTTGCATATGAACATTGACAGTATTGCAAATCCTGTACACACTTCAAAAGCCTACTAAAAATCTAAAATTATAGGTGAATACTGAAAGTTAGAAAATGTTTCGAGTAGAACTTACCTCCAATATTGGTTCCACACAAATTCATAAGACCATTAAAAGTTAAAAATAAGCCAAGTCCAGAAGACCATAATTCAGTACCAACAATATCAATGATTAACTGTGGAAACATGACGTACAATCCACCATTCGATATGCCAACAAAAAAACAAGCCAACGCTAATAGTTTTCCTTCTTGATGCGAGAATAATTCGAAGTGCTTTAACTCACTTTGAACAGACCATAATGGGACTAAAGCTATAGTTAGTGTACATGCGCTATTTAAAAGAAGTGTTATCAGGAAGATTACTAAATGAAATTTATACTTTGACGATGAAAATTTTTTATTGACAGATTGAAAACAATTTGGTTGACAACAAGAACTACCATTTTCAACTTTGCAATCTTGATTGTTATTTTTACAACAGGTACCTATGTCACCAAACTGAGAAGTTATCAAACCATAAAACAATTGACCTGATAGAATGTTAAAGAAAATAAGGAGTAAAAATAATCAAAGAGTTACTTTAAAAATAGTAGACAGTAAGACAAACAACAAACGGGCTATAGACAAATATCAAAAATGTGAAATTCTCGTTAAAGAAAAAGAGTTGTAAATGTACTACTAATATAAGTTGAAAGACCTTCCTTCATGAAATAGTTAGTAAAAACACAGATACCAAAAAACGATAAACTAGCACCAAGTTTTTATCCAACTTTCTGGTGCCGAATACAGTACAATACAATGACGAATTTTTCAACTTAATATGCACATTTTCTAATCAATCACCAGGCCTCAACTAGTAGTGAGTAACCAATTACATCATGTTCATCATTACTAGTATTTTTAGTTTAGGCGGAAATCGACTATATCACCAAACAAACAGATTATATGTACGTCCCGATGTTTAACTGCTTCTTGTTTAAAACCAACTGCACTAATATTTTCCTAAATACTGTTTAATCTCCTGATAGGTAGTTTTATGTTATGCTTTTCTTTTAGGAAAATATCAATAAGAATGCTTTCGTTTATACAAAAACTAGCAAATAATTTCTAAGGATACTGTGTTTGATATAAGAGAGGTGAGTTTTACATGATTAATTATTTTATATAATTTTAAAACACTTAAGTTCATGTGCTACATGAGTCCAAAATTGATTTGATGACAGCAAATAGATCTAACGAAATAATATTTAACCGGTTAACTAAATTTTGGCAGTCTGATCTACATCACATACCTTGAGACTTCTGAAACTACAAGCCACATTTATGTCTGGTTTAAAAACAAAGGTGATCCGTTTATTACCTGTTTTATGCAATATTCATATCGTATGCTCAATAACTGTTAGAGGAATAAAGTTAACAGTATAGGGGTTGTGGAGATTGTTAAGTTTTTGGTTGAGATCATGAACCGATTGATGTTAGACCACCATTGAAAACCTGGAAGCACTGGACGACCATTTCGTTTTATTTTGCAGCATAATGATTTTAATAAAGTTAAGTTTGTGTTTCTTAATGAATAAATCGAAAATCGTTCGACAAAGTATGTCTGAGCTTGCATTTGACATCACGCAATGTTCAACTAAATCTCAGGGCATAAAATCCACATTAACCATGAGAACGTTTTCTTGTATAATTTATTCTCTGCCATAGAATTAAATAACTGTCATTTAATTTCTAAATGTCAGGTCAATGATTGATAACCTATCAATCATATCAGCAGTTTTATGAAAACTCTACTCAATTAGCTCGTGTAACAATTCCCTAATTAGAATATAAAAAGTTAATTGCTTAAAACTGACCAAATAGCAATCCGAATCCAATTAAAGATGGAAGCCAAGAAATATCTTGATTGTTTATATCTCCAATTGAATTTTGAGCATTCAAATAAGACAGAGTAGTTAAAACATGATCGTAAATAAATGTCCATGGTATGACAACTCCAGCACCAGCTATACCATTAGCTATTACATAAAATAAAAAATTAGGATTTTTCTATAATTTCGGTGAAAATAACTTTTTAAAATTTGAAGTGAATTCTTGTAAAAATTGTGGGCATCCAAATGAAAATCTTATTTCATTTATTCTTTCTTTATTGACGATACCATAATCACTATTTTCAGCATTGATCTTTATAATATTTGAATGAGATAAAAGTGGACGATAATTTCGAAAGCGGAATAACGATGGAATACATAAACAAAGTGGAATTGAATTCCAAAAGTATTTAGTTATTGAACAATCTAAAAAAAATAGAATAAAATTTATTGAGAAATAAACTTCTTGATAATAGTTTAAAAGCGAAATTCACTGTACGCTTATCATTTTTAGAACTCTTCTGACGTGTTTAAACAATGTTTTCATTTTAAGCAAAGATGGATAGTGGCTAACAGTGGAATCCAGGATGCGCGTTTCGTCCTATTTGGGACTCGTCAGCTGGATGTACCTGCATCTCAGAGTTGATGTTCACTCTGGGACTCGAACTCAGTACCGTACGCTTCAAACGCAATCGCGTTATCCACTTAGCTACTGAGTCCTGATAGTTACTTGCTTGTGCAATGGGGTGAAGTTTAATTCACTTGTTTATAAAAAGAAATAGATAGTCAAAGACTAGATAAAATCGCATAACATTCTAGAATGCCATGTTTTGATTCACTGTATGTGGAAATATTTATCAAAAAACAAAGTGCGATATGTTATAGAACACGTTACGATAAACACAAATCGAAGTACAGATGAGAAATAAAAAGTGTGGAATAACATGGTATTTATAAATAAGACGAATATGAATCTATCCCACTATAATGAATTAGAACCATCTAATCTCTAAACATTGACATTTGGGATATCATTGACCCTTATTTCTTACCTTAATTAACCGGAGACTTATTATTATCTGACACTTATTAATTAGTATGCAACACGTTGAGCATTATTAACACACATTAGAAACATTATTTCAGTACGTGTTTACAATCGTCATAGCTGGCTTATTTTTTTATTCAATAAAATGCACTGAATTTAGACCTTGTTCACTCAATATTACTATTTCAAGCGAGTAATACAGAAAAACAAAAACTAAAATTGCCAATGACGTTATCACATGTGTTATTTTTATCAATCGTATGTTACAATTCTTGAGTAAAACACAGTGAAGTTTTAGGCATTTGATATCTTCAGTAAATTTATGTCAATCAAATAAATATAAGATAATGATGATATGAAAACGTTTATTAACTATCTTTTAAACAGAAAAGTTTACGTTTACGTACAGTTTTATCAATAGCTTATTTTGCAGCATATTGATTTTAATAAAGACAGTAATTTGCGAAGTATATGTGCATGCTTTCTTGTGAATCTTTTTTCTATAGATACATGTTACATCATAAAAATAAATGGTACTGGTACTGAGTCTGTGTCCTCTTAAGCAGACTATAAACATAAAGGCTTTGACATCACTCGAGTATATACAGAAAATCTGAGAAAACAGTTATTAATTATTTATTTGAACACATAAGTATTGGTACAAGGGGGAACCAGATACATATGCGCCACACAATAATAATCAGAATGAGAAGAGATAAAGAATGTAAGGCGCGTATAAGATAAAAAAGAAGAATAACGACCACAAATTAGTGTATAGTAGTGAAATAATAATAATAATAATAATAATAATAATAATAATAATAATAATAATAATGGGAAAAACAGAAAGGTAAGACCAGAAAGAATCCTCTCAGTTAATGAAGTTACGCTCACTTTTATGAAAAAAGTAAAAGAAGGTTACAGCAGGATCGCCACTGGCTTCTATTCTGAGCCATATCTGATAACGTCTCTAGCCACTGTGTTGCACTATCTCTAGGACCTCAACCAGTGAGTCGTGAAGGACGAACAGAAGCTAGTCTTGTACAGCTTTCTTTCATAATACGACACCATGTCGTACACTGACCACCTCTCCGCTTTTTCTAACCAGTCCCAGCGTCGGCAAATAATGCACGACGTGGAATTCTCTGGGACGACATTTGCAGAACACGTGCAAGCCACCGAAGTCGATGTTTTAAGATGGTGACACCAACTGGATTATCGTCTCTGTGCCCGAACACACGATGCCGAATCTCTGCATTACTAACATGGTGTTGCCACTGGATGTCAGAAATCCTTCGGACAACGACGATCAAACACAGAGAGTCGTCTAACATATTCAACTCTAAGAGACCAGATTTCACAAGTATAGAGCAAAACTGTTCTCACCGACGCGTTGTATAACAGACCTTTTACAGCCAGATTGACATCACGAAGGCGCCAAAGATAGCCCAGATTGGCATGTTTACCTATACTTTTCGGTAGGATGATAGCTAGCCTTGAATCTAGCTCGGTTTGATATTTAGTTACAACAGAAGTCGCAATCAGTTTACTGACATCAATCCGTATAGGACGATGAATTCGTTGGCCACTGAAAAGTAAGGTAAGATTGGTGCAAACAAGGGCATGACCAGAGTCCAGATAGGTACTCCAAAAGGAGCGGCAGTCTTGTACACAACCACGCCAGCGGTAGCTGATCGCGATGTGATCAATCTGAGTCCAGACTTGAGATGAGGAGGGAGGACGCCAGGTGGCACATTGGCGATTTGGAAGTTAGTGCTAGCCAGAAACAGGTTGTGGTTTGCGCACATTTGTAGTAGACGATCACTATTATCTGACCTGCGACAAACAAGTCCCCATCGGCCACCTAAACGACTCCCTTCTGTGCTTAAACGTCCGACCTGAGCATTCAGGTCTCTGGCTGGCACTAAAATGCCTGTCGAACGCACTTTATGTAAAAGAACTGCCAGTTGGTTATAAAATCAATCCTTCATTGCATCCGGGTTGCAATCTGTCGGGACATAGGCGGAGATGACGAAAAGACATCGTTTCTCGCGCCGACTCCTACTCACTTTGATGAGAATTTCCAACCTAACAGCACATAACCGAGTGTTGGTGGGGACCCAGTCGATTAGTGCTGCCTCAGCTCTAGCGCTTAGTGCGACACCAATGTCAGCACAACCAGACGAAGATGCCACAGGGACCACGGATAAACTTACGTAAAGCAAGCTTTTTGAAGCGACGGATGGAGAGCGAATTTGTAGTACTTCACTAGAGTCTTCAATACGGGTCTCGGATAGACAGCAAACGTCGGTATTAAGACTTTCTAAAGACACAGCCAGCCCTATCTGTTGTCCGATTTGCATTAGTGTGCGAACGTTGAAGGCAGCCAGTTTGAATGGCGTACGTGTTTTCAGAAAGACTTTCAGTATTTGTATTTGGTTAAAGCATTCAACTTTCGACGAGGCAGTATTAAAAAAAAAAAATTCAACACATAGATAATGGTACAAAGAGGCACCAAATACATATGCGCCACACAAATCTCATCCGATATGTGTGAGGGCTGTGATACTGCCCGGGTGCCCAAACCGAAGCAGGTGGTTTTCTTAGGGGGCCACACCCCGAGCCTTCGACCTGAGGGTCTGATCCACAAGGCAGTGGAGCATCGTAAGGAGATGCAGTCCCATGGAAGCCGGTGACCAACAATTGGTTCATTCGCCATTTGTTCCCGCAGGATACTGGAGCCCATGTGCACCATTGGTTTGGAATCCGGTTAAAGCGCCGGACATTCGCTTTTCGTCCTCTCATTTTCGTAAACAACACCCCCGCCACGAGAAGGCAGTGAGTAGGACTTCCCTGGCAGAGGCTATATACGCGTGGCCGTGTGAGAGTATTTCGAGAGGGAGAGCGGACTCTCCCCACTCTCGGCCGTACCAGGGCATTTGGGGGCGATCAGGCAGTAACTCGAGATCGTTTAGATAGAACAGAGTTTTCACCATGGGTGAGCTGCTGTATAAGTTGAAAAACGGGTATATATGTAGTGAGACTAAAAAGTGATAAGTGGTGTAGTATATAAGGAAATAATTATAATAATGATTTTATCAAGTAAAATTGAAATGTCTGAGTTCTGATCGAATAGAGCATAGTATTTTGTGAACTATTTGTCATCTTATCAAATTTTTGTGAGGGCTGTGATACTGCTTGGGTGCCCAAATTGAAGCAGATGGTTTTTTTAGGGGGGCACACCCAGAGCCTTCGACCTTAAGATCCGGTCCACAAGGCAGTGGAGGCTCGTTAGGAGATGCAGTCCCATGGTAGTCGGTGATCAACGATTGGTTCATACGCCATTTGTTCCTGGAGCCCATGTGCACCACTGGTTTGGAATCAGGGTTTTCCAAATCCCGTATGTAGACTCTCCGTGTTCATCAACCCGGTTAAAGTGCCGGAGTTTCGCTTTTCGTCCTCTCAATTTCGTAGACAATACCCTTGCTACGAGAAGTCAGTGAGTATGACTTCCCTGCCATAGGCTATATACGCGTGGGCATGTGAGAGCATTTCGAGAAAGAAAACGGACTCTCCCCACTCTCGGTTGTACCAGGACATTCGGGGGCAATGAGAAAACAATAGAGATGAAGATATATTTTAATAAAATTTGCGTATAATTCACATTTCAAGAACAAGCTACTCTTCTGTATACTCATTATTAAGAAAATGGAAAAGGATTGATCAGGTAAGTTATTGATGATGATCGCAGTTTATAGATCAGTCACTCATATTTGAAACAAATTAGGCATCTTCAAACAGGTGAATGAAACATCTAGGAAGTAAAAGACACATAAATCCTGGCCATTTTGAAGAGGTAGCACAGTTTACCCAATTAATATTACTAATAAAGCATTTTAAATACGAATCAAAATTTCAGCTACGAATAAATTTAAACAGCTTCCGACACTAACTGGAAAATGGTTATAACTCTCATCTTGTAAAACCATCAACAGCTTCGTGCCGAGTTGGTATACAGTTTATAAAAAGAAGTGTTAGAACGATTCGATAATTAAAGATTCTAAAATTGAAATTTTATATTCTGTTGGCTTTAGCCAGCAATTCAATTGTGTAGAATGCATGTTAACGAAGATGTTTAAGCTAAAATGAAATAGTAGTTTTAAAACCGTTTATTTCTCAGTATTTTTCATCTTTAACACTCTTTGATAAAACATTGACAATAATACAATCAAACGTGTACAATAATGTGAAATTATTTAAAAAACAAGATATACATACCACTGGCAAAATCTTCTTCAGAAGGATACTTATTCTGATGGTTTGTATCTTCTATCTTGAAAACAGAAATTATATCTCAATAAAGTATTAAAAAAAAATGTAAATATTTTGAAAATTTCACAATATTACAGGTAAATTAAATTATATTTAGAATAATATAACAGTGATTGAAATTGAAATAATTCCAACATTTCGTCCAGCTAACTTGTCTAGACTTCTTCAGGGTAATAAATGTAACTTATAGTTGTCTGCCAAAATATTTATAAAAAGACTAAAGTTACTGAACTGAAAGGATCGATAACTACTACTGCTTAAACAGTAAAAAAAAATATGACCTAATACCAAGTTTTAATTACATTTTACTTACAATCATCTAATGAGAACTTTAAAAAATCGTAGATTTCATTAAATTTATTTTAAAATAAATTTCTCTAATCACACATAATAAATTTAGTCTGATTGGTAAAAATCGGTACTGATCAATCGTGATTATTATTATTATTATTATTATTATTATTATTATTATTATTATTATTATTATTATTATTATTATTACTATGATATTTGATTCTTCACCTAAACTAAGCTGATAAATGTGCTGATAGTATAAAAATGACATAATAGAAGAAAACAGAAGAACAGCACAGACAGCCATCTGAATTGGTATTGAGAGAAATGAAAATGATTTACTATTTGACAGCTATAATAATCAAATAATTTAACTATGTCATCTGATATATAATTGAAGGGGGGAAATACAAAAAAAGTCACTTTGTAGTTGTATATGTTATAATGGTTATACACTAATTATGTGATAATCGATTGCTTTCGATTAGTATTGAGAGAATATTCATAAACTGACATAATATGCAAAATAAATCGTTTAAATCCTAAGTTTGAGAAAGCCAGTTAGAAATCATGAAATGGAATAATATGAATAGATCCATAAATACAAAATATCGACTAATTAGACTGTTTGAATTTATAACTTTTTTCGTCGTTGAAATATAGGATTTTGGGTTTGATGAATAATTCATCAATTTTGGTGGAGTTTTGTTCTGTGAGCTGGGTGGTTTGGTCGTGGAGCTTTCATCATTCTTCTGAACGACATCATCAGCAAAAACTTCACATAGAAGTGAAGTGTTCGAATTTCTCCATATGTGTTTCACAGCTTGTTCTGTGCACTCCGATGTTGATTGGTTCTTATTGACCTTAAATTTGTCATTGTTTACTTCTTTGTTTTGGTTGTGTCTCTCATTGGTTTGATGTTTGTTCCTATATTTGTGAATGATTTTCCTGATTGGTTGGTAAATTGGATTGATTTCAATATGCTTGTTGATTGTTGATTGACTGCTACAATTGGACATAGTGGAATGTTTGGTTTGTGTATTTCGAGTCTGCCGTAGAATCGAGGGAGTACTGGTCCACTGGATTTCATTCTTCATTGGTATTGTTTTGTTATTTCTCCTGCTTTGACTAGCTTTTTTAAAGTCTTTGAGATCTGGTTATCTTATTTTTTTATGGGATTTGTATCCATCAGTTAGTATGTGTTCTTATCTTCAAGTAGTTTTTCGGCTTTTTTGACGTATTCTTTTTTGTTCATGACTACCGTGGTGCGTCCTTTGTCCGCTGGCATTATGACAATATCCTTTCTATTTCTGAGTTCATTCAAAGCCTTTTGATCTTGTGGAGTCAGTTGGTTGTTTTCCTTCACCTGTTGAGTTAGCGGTACTATAGTTTGTCTTACTTCCTGTTGTGTTTCTTCACTGATTCTGGAAGTTTTGAGTGATGACTCTAGTGCTGCGAAGAATTCCAGCTTTGAGGCGTCGCTTGTATTTTAGTTTAATCCTTTTTGGAGTAGGTGTTTTTCCGTATTTATTAGTGGTTTGTTTTGACAGATTGATCACGCAGTTGTTTGTGTTTTCTTCCATGGGTGGTTTTGAGATCTTGATTAGTTTTTTCTTTAGGGTGGTTCTTCTTTGTTCTCTGTGTCGTTTGCATGATATCTCGATGGCTGTTGTCAAGATTTCCAAATGTTCTGACGTGAGTGTCCTTTGTAGCTCCATCTTTTGGTCCTCTATGACGTGTTGGTATTTGCGGATCCTGTAGTGTGCATCCGTTATCATTAGGTGTACCATTTTTCTTCCACTTTGCTCAGCTATTTTCCATCCTAATGGGCAGTTGATTAGAGGTCTATATTTTTTACTTGTTGGTAGAACACGATGGCGAAGACACTCCTTGAGAAAATATAGTTGTTCTCAAGTGGAAGCCTACCTTTAAGCGAAATTCTCCCATTTTCGAACAACAACAATCGGCAATCAATAAGCATATTGAAATCAATCCAATTTACCAACCAATCAGGAAAATCATGCACAAATATAGGAACAAACATCAAACCAATGAGAGACACAACCAAAACAAATAAGTAAACAATGACAAATTTAAGGTCAACAAGAACCAATCAACATCGGGGTGCACAGAACAAGCTGTGAAACACATATGGAGAAATTCGAACACTTCACTTCTATGTGAAGTTTTTGCTGATGATGTCGTTCAGAAGAATGATGAAAGCTCCACGACCAAACCACCCAGCTCACAGAACAAAACTCCATCAAAATCTTCCACCTGAGCTACAAATCTTTACCATCTCATAATTCATCAATACTGAAACTCTGACTTTAGTTCATATCAGTTAATTAATGTAAAGTTCAGTGCATTTATATATGAAACATACATTAATAATGCAGCAATGTTAGTTAACCCAGAGTGAAATGCACAAACAAATATAATTTTACATTTATTTACGAAACAAAGTATGCATATTGTTTTCACAAAGGATAGAAACATAGAACAAGTTATATTGTCATAGATAATAACCTGTATGTACTGAATAAATTACTTGTCTAAGGATGTTGAATGCTCTCAATTGATACACTACTTTTTTATTTGCATTCTGCCTATTTATTAATTTTAAAAAAACTGTATATGTAATTATCGGGTCAAAAGTCACAATTCAAACTATCAGATTTAGATAGATATATCATTTGATTATTAAAATAGTTCTGTCTACTGACAATAAAATTTCTTTTTTCACCGACTAAAATGTATATTCTTCTTAAATCCCATGAAATAAATCGGTTGTTATATCTCATTAATTCCGATCATTTTGTAAGATGTCATATGACAAAAAACAATTTTTATATCACGGTGAACAAACAACACTATTAATCTGTTCATTTACATTTGAATTCTAATAGTTTTAAAGGTCAATGTTAATAGTTTCAAATATATATTTACCTTAATAAACTTTTTAAAAAAAGAAGCCCATTGATTTACTAAAGAAAATGAAAACATTTCGGAGAAAAAAAATTCACTTCCGACGATATAATTTTCGTGTGCTGTACAAGGGCATTTATGGGTAATGTAAAAAACTTATAGTACGATTGTACAGCATTGAAAAATGATGTCGTCGAAAAAAAATTTCTCCGCTGAATTGTCTTTATTGAAAATTCAGAGTTGACTATTGCTATTTTTGAAGAGATCACGGGACCACCTAAAATCGGCGACACAACGACAGACAAGCTAAACTATTCCTATGAGTCCCAACCCAGCTAAATAAAGGGTGAAGCCTAGGTTCAGATGAGAAAAAGTTATATTTTACAAGCAGCTAGAAGCGCGAACAAACAGGCAAACAACTCAAGCGTAGATATACAGTATAAAAATGTCCTTGTGGAACGTCACAAAATAGCGCATTAAAAGAGCAACGAACGAATGACACTTAAGGTCCGCAGTCAGTCAGCTACAACGCAGGACCAGGCATATATATGCATCGGTCCAAGTTGCCATACCTCATTAGCACAACAAGATGTACACTGGATTCATAGAAGTAGTTCATTCAGTGGTGGTCATATATAAAAGAAAGATTGCATATAAGGACATAGTGCAGGAAGAAAGAATTAGTTCGTAGGAAGATATGAAGTGATTTTGATTTCATAGTTTAAAGGAAGGAAAAGAGTGTATACACCTACGCCATTGTGATCGATTCTGAGCCATGTCATCCAGAGTCTTCAACCATTGGTTATGATATTCACGTGGACACCAAACGAGTAGTCTGCATCTACCAGCATGGCTCAGACCAGAAGTTAGTGACTTCAAGCGTTGATGCCACGGTTTGGTTTGACCGCCCTTAACTTTCTTCCAGCCATCCTCAACATCAGTTAGGATTGCTCGCCGTGGTAATCGGTGCTCAGGCATACGCAAGCGGGAAATACCATCTGAAGGTAAAAATGGGCACTTCTGGCGCAAAAACGAGAGATTCAAATTTCCAATACAAAATTACAAAAACATGACGGTTACCAAGTGATTTCTGGATATCTGGCATCCCCAACAACTATAAAATCACTGGATCGTAACTAATGTCACCCCGTTAGGTTTGGAGTGATGACAGAAATCTCCAAGTTAAATAATTAGTGTAATTTCTTTGACGAACATGGATCGAGAACAGATTACACCGCTGTTACTATTAAGCAACTGAGGGCAGCCAATAGTACTTATTGGATTTCGATTATAAGTACGATACTTCGCAAATAGTAAATGTGTATATTCCTTTCGGTGTCTGAACCATTGTGACCTAGTACAAATTCTTTTCCTGAGCAAAGATAATGTTTCCAAAAGTTTCACTAAAATGATATTATGGGTGTCACATTATAATCAGCAGACCTAAGCTTTAGTAACTTCAAATTTAAATGCGTCTTGTTACAACTGGTTGAGCTCAATAGTACTTTTAAGGTGATGATGGAGAATGATCTGAAACTATTATCACAGCTCCAATAATTAACACACAAAGTATATTCATTTCAACTTATTTGAAACGGCCGTTTCTACATACCCACACAAAATGGCCAATACTATCGATTTACATAACAAACAGTTCCAATACCACGAAATTATCTTAGTGAAAGCATGTACATAGTTCAAAATACTATACGACAGTGAGGAAACTATGATTGCAAGGAAAACCTTACCTTCATAAAATTCAAACTGATGTTATTATATTCAAGCAGATACATAGTAATGTACCTTTGTTCTTTTAGAATTTTATGCTAGATGTCCAACCAAAAGGCAAAGAATTAGTTTGTCTAACCCAATAAACAAGCTTATTGTTCAGACTGTAATTCCAATATTTGGGTATTCATGATTGTTGATCATAAACTCATACATAAAGCATGGGGATATTCATAGTAAAACTTTTTCTAGTAGTATTCCAATTATTATGGATGAATTCTGTTGAACATTATTTAATCACGGGAACAATTATAAATATCCTTTCAAGAAATACTGTGTTATTCCTTTGATAAGAACTAATGTATAAAAATAAAATCCGAAATATGCTTAGGAAGTACAGTCCTGTTCATAATCAGTTGTTTTCCTATTGTAGCGTAGTCTAGTGTGATGGATAATTAATGCTTCTAGTAGATAAGTAAAAAATGTTATTTTTCTGTAAGTTCATCTGAAACAGTATTTGCAAATTTCCTTCATAACTTCTCATAATATATGTCGATTGCCAAATCAGTGCTTTAAGTAGCTACAAAACGAAATTTAGAGAGATTTTAAGAAAAGTTCCACTTGGGACTATAAACGTACTTTAACTTTGCGTGATTTGAACAATAAAATATTGTAACATTCTATTTCAACAAAACAATGATAGCTTTTACATGACTTACACCGTCAGGATAACTCAGCTCATGTTTCACTAATGTTTTTGCGTTTAGTTCTGCATCTAAATGATGAGAACACGATGCTGTGACTAAAATGTTCAGAAGTATGGCGGATTCGATCAATAAAACCTCACGCCAATTCCAAGTACTTAGGAGCCAAGCAAGAAGGTAATTCGACCCAAATGCACCAACACCCGAACCACACATAGTGAGTCCTATGGCTAAACCAAAACTAAATGTAAAGATAATTTAGGAAATAATAATTTATCATGGTAAACCTCAGAAGTTGAAATAAAAAGTGCTTTGCAAGGAAAAGTCAGTAATAAAGATCTATATCCATAAACATAAAATTTTTTAGTGACAAATAACTATTGAAAATAACTTGAGTATCTGTTCAGTAAACTAGCGTTTCGATAGGTGTAGCTTTTCTCATGGATTTTAGGTCAACTTAATAATTATCTTACGCTAAGAAAATAATCCTTTACTACGCCAGGTTAAGTTTGTTCATTCAATTTACTAACACTAGTATTGAATCCAAACTATATATCAAAAAAGTGAACAAAACAGTAATCACATTTTAGATACCTGAAATCAGATCACTTCATAAATCTCTTCATGAAATTAAAATGCAAATTCATCATGAATTTTTATTATTCTATCAAGAAACGTTTAAGAAGAATACAATAGCTGAAGCTTCTGCAGTTGACTTTTAGGTGAATATAATTAAAAACCGTTGTACATTCCCTAAACGTTTGTATTGAAATCTTAGTGTGTATGAATGTAACACAAAAAGACGGCAGGTACTAATATTTTATGAAGAACCTCGGAAGTAATATCAATATGAATGAAATATATGCAGACACGATAAAGAGATGTTAAACTTGAGAATATAACAAAAAGCAAAAAAAGTCTAGACAAATCCGTTTGATTTCAAGTTACACTTAAAATTTTATTTAAGTACAGTAATACGGAAGGATGTAAGATAGGACCGAATCATAAAAATTAAAACACATAAGAATCGTTTTATCACTAAAAGTGAATTCAAAGTTCAGAAAATTGCTAAACCCCATTTATTTTTTTTTACATTGATGAAATCAATTATTTTCAATTCGCAGAGGTATTTTGCTTCCATTTATTATGTATTCAGCTCTCATTTTTTACAAGATTTATTACAGAAAAAATCATTGTAATAATAATGTATCATACGTAAAATACGATATTAATATTTCATTTCTAGAAGCCGATTTTCATGTGTTTCTCATTTTTCTCTCATAAACTATACATATATATATATAACCTAAAGGTAATTAATTATATGAGCGGTTATTACCATTTTTCATATTCCTTAGATTTTGCAAATCTAACTCTTCATCAATTTCAAATTTGATCAAAACGTCTCGTCAAACATGACATCAAGTATACACACCCGTTTTAACAATAAGTAATGTTGTTTTGAGATTGTAAGAAACTGTAAATAGTCTACATAGTAAATAAATCAAGGTTATTCTATTATTATTGTTGTTCTTCTGATACAAACATTCATATTTTAGCTACACCTCTAGGAAACAACAAACAATTCGATTTTTTGTGAAAATTGTTATATCCCTTGAATTAAGTAAACTAATTAATGGAAAAGTTTTTTTCGAAAAATGACATAAGAAAAAAAAGAGTCCATAGTAAGCTAAATTTGCTAAGTTCTAATATTTCTAGGCAAATTTTGCATTATCAAGTCAGGTGGATCTCTGCCATATAGTTGTAGGTTCGAACCTCATTCTACATAAATTGGTTTGGATAACCAGTTAGGATTACTGTCCACCACAGAAAAAAGATGGTATGAATCGGGTTACATGAGTGAGTGGTTGGTTATTTAATTCTGTTAAGTTGATAAACTGAGTATAAGCACTATCTCTATCAATAAAGAAAGTATTTCTAAAATCTATGAATACTTCATCTGTTTTTATAAGGTTTAGGAGTTATTTGCTAACTAATAAGTATTCCTTCAAGCAGTGGACTGTCTAATAATACCATTATTTTATCAGATGATATGATAAAAGGAAATAGCACTGATATGCACTCTCGTTTTTCGTTATTTTTCAATAATAAATAACTATTTAATTTGTCAATTTGTAGTCGAATACAATCTGACATACATTTTTTGAGTTTTTTGATGAAAAGTTAGATAATTATTCAAGCATTTAGTGAATCGGATTTTGAACATGTATAGGATAATACAGTTAGTTAAGTATAGAAAAGAAACACCAGCAGTATACGTATGCTAATAAATGATTTGTCAGAATTATCCTCGGTATTCCTTTCAATACACAAACGTATTTTACCTTTTGAAAAAAAAGAAAGGAAAAGATAACATAGAACGCCTATATTTTTAATCAGTGTCAGCTCCTACTTAAGAACGAATCGAAAACTGAGTTACATGCTTGAATGTTTCGTAGAATTTGTATTGCTTCTGTAAATTTATTTTTCATGGACAGAAAAAGTTCAGAAACCATTGGAACCTAATAATTACCGAATAGCTCTTTATTCATGGCTTAGGATTCGTCAGCTGTGAGGATTTATAATCGGACAAAAAATCAGTTCGAACTAGAAACCATTCGGCAATCAAAATGAAGCATTCAGAACCAGTCGGAACACTGATAAGGCAAAAGTTAATTCTTTTAGATTATGTCGGTCTATAGTAAAAATTAACATTAATGAGTCATAAATAATGTAGTATCTGAGATAAATGGGCGTCGCTTTAAGTCACCACACTTTACATGAGAAAAGAGGTAAGAAGTGGATCAGATAAAAAGGTGATCGAACAGTAATAGTAAAGAAGAAAGCTGTCTTTAAATATTGCATCCACATTGCTTTTACATGAGTAGAGTGAGTTTGAACATTTACTTAGTATTGGTTAAAACCTTTTGAAAATATTCAAGTTCATATTGTCTCTAATTACTTATATTGGTAAAGATACTGCAGTTAGTCTACGTGCAATAAAGCCCAAAATCCTTTCTATCACCTGGGTTATCCGTGATGGTGTCATAACGTTAATCTGACCTTAAAATGTATAATGTAACACACGTCAATGAGAGAAGTTCTGTTCTTTACACAAATCAAAATACATCTTTGCCGTGAACGAAAGCTATCTTGTTTGTGTTTTTATTCAAAGTATTTTTTCATTGATTTACCTATTGTATGAACTTTTTAAACGTACACGTCGTCATAATAATTTTACCTACACATTTCTGCTGACTTATTATACATATTGTTTTGTATATCACAGGAAAATAAGTAACTGTTTGCAGTTAAAAATTAACAAACCGGACAAAAAAATGAGAATTACGAGACCAAACTAATCTCAAGGAAACTAAAATAAATACATATGAGTTCATTAAAAGCTTTGGAAGAAAAGGAGAATTAAAATGTAGATATATTCATTTTTACAGCCACGTATTTAAGAGTACTTCTGGTTTTTGCGTCTACATCAACGTACGTAAGATTCTGGTGTCAAGCCTTAGTTTTAAAATATTGCCATTTACCAAGCAACTGCATACATTATCATAATTAATGTGTATTAAAATTTTATCAGGATGTTAGAAGTTAACTTACTTAAATTCACACTTGACACTTTCAAACTAGCATTCTCAAGAATTTATTCTTGATCAGATGCAAGATTATCATTAAAATACAGATTTATTTTTGAATGCTTTACATTTTTAATGAGTGTCAAACAAGCACTTTTAGCCAGGACTCTGTTTTCCCTTTTACCAGTGGTTAAGGAATAAAAAGTGAAGTACTGAAACTCTCTGTGCTGTCATTCAAACAGAGGATTCGGCGAGACTAATTTATGGACGAGTCGATCAGAATCGTTTTAGAGATTTTAAGGTTACGGCGCCAACTTCAGTGCTTAATGCTAACGTACGATCGATTCACAGGGAATTTTGTACAAAACGTGATAACTGAGAGGTTATAACAAATGAAACGGCGAGACTATAGTTTTGTGGACGAATCAATCGGGCATAAGATAATAGATCTCGGATTTCAACGTGAAAGTCTTCCATCCATTTGGCTAAATAAATTTCTGGCATTATAGCTGATGCCAGTTCGTGATGAAAACTCCATATATAATTCCTAACTAAGGCAAATTATGACAATTATTGCGAACTGGATAATAAAAGCACCAGTAACACTGGCTGCAGCCAGGTAATACAATATATACGGATGTTTGGAGAGCTTATAGACTCCTAAGTAGGCTTGATTATGTGCATCGTGTCGTTATCCACATGTAACATTTTGTGCACTCAACAACCAGAGTGCACATAAACAATATTGAAGCTATGTGGTCGAGGCTGAAAGAGTTTTTGAGACTTTATCATGGCTCCAAAGGCCGACTATTCTGTAGCCGTATGGATGATTTCCTCTACTGCATGCATTACGATTTTAGGACCTCTGAACTTCTTTCTAACCTTGGCAAGTTTTAGAACCACGTATAAAAAGTGTATCCACTTTATTTCCTTGGTTTTGTATAACGTATTTCTACTCTATACTGACTGTTTGCTGATTGGCTAATATTTATCAAGGTCACTTAAGATTCGTCCAAAGGTCGTTCATAAATTAGAGTCTCGCCGAGGATTCTTTAAAGGGTTTATCCAACACAATCGTAATAATTCTACTTTTACATCACTTATATGTATATTTATATGGTAAACCGTTAACTAATCATCTTACGCATTTTATACTGGAGAATTAGTTTGCATGTAGATCAATGTAATTTGTTGTTGCTAATGAGTAAAAAAACGGAAAACATCTGAAACTTTATTGCTCATGCAAAAACTAAGGCTAAAAATTCAACTCACTATGAACTGTTCTCGAATTGGGCAGTAACTGACATCAGTGCGGATAAATATGTCAACTGAAGTCCAACACTGGTCAATATGCCCAGAGTCAAGTATAAAATGTGAAAACTGTTCGCAAATGAGGAAACTAAAATAGTATATTTAGTATGGAGTTATAACCACATTCTGAACTTACCAAAGCATCCGACCCACATTAACAGTGCACCCCATGCAGAACCTGACGAAAATCCATAAGTGTCAAGCAGTGGGCACAGAAAGGGTGCAAAAAATTGAGGCATTGAGAAAATCATTCCAGGTAGGGTGGCAGTTTCAACACTACTAAGATGGAAAGCACTCATGAGCTCCGAATATAATATACCCATAGAGTAAGTGTATCCATTAGCCAGCATATACGAAACAAATCCGCCAAAAATTAACAATATCTTCTGAAAATCATTCATGTCAGTACGATAACATAAAGAGATCCAGTCACACAAAATCGATCAAATAAATTTTTGACATTCTGTTTATACACGTGTAGAATAATTGAAACTATTTACTTACACGTAATAGCAGTTTATCTGACACAAAACCTGAACCCAAAATTTTAGAAATGTAAGTATCAATAAGTAATGTCAAACAAAATTCCAATAATTACTTTCAAAAATATGGCTTAAAGTAGACAATTAGCACACTTCAAGAGGTAGTTATATAAAAAAACAAGCCAATCTAGTGATTGAAAAACACTGACAGTTCATAGTAGTGATGAAACATTAAAATGTTTATTCTATGAACTTGGTGAAAAAAAATGAAAGCAAAGTATTTTGTTATCTAACGAAAACAACCAATCTTCTTTTCTAAGCTTCGAAAACGTAAGACAGCAGAAAAGTTGTATTTACTTACCTTAGCTATAGCAGAGAGTTGAGTATTTCAACAACATATCTGATTGATCTTACCATTCAAACAACGGGTTTTAATCACAACCCGTTTATTAGTAATTTAATGGTCGTCGCAAATTCTTTGTCAAAGAACAAACAAGTATATCACTTTAGGAAAATATGTAAGCCTCCTAAGCAAGGTTAGAATGACTGTGCAGACTAAAATGTTTAGTTAAAATTAATCCGCACAACCGGCTGTTATATAAGTTAAGAAAAGTCGGGATTGAAGGCAATTTATTGATGTTGATAAAAGACTTCTTAGTTGGGCGTCAACAAGGAGTACGGGTGAACTCAAAGTTATCTAGCTGGGAAACTGTGCTTAGTGGAGTGCCCCAGGGTACAGTTTTGGGGTCAGTGCTATTTCTCATGTATGTAAATGACCTTCCTTGTCTCCTATCATCATCGGTCTTGCTATATGCTGACGATGTCAAGATATGGAAAACGATACGATGTAAGAGTGATAGCTTAGAACTTCAAAATGACCTGAAGAAGTTATCTGAATGGTTTCAAACATGGCAATTGCCGATAAATACTTCCGAGTGTGTTGTGATGCATATCGGTCATCAAGGCACAGATACATACACGATTAATAACACTGAGCTACCTGTCGTCCAGACATATAATGACTTAGGAGTTATCGTTAGTCAAGACTTAAAGACTACTGCACACTGCCATGCAATAGCCGCCAAAAGTTTTAGAACGTTATGGTCAATACGTAGGGCTTATAGTCATGTCGACGCTAAGACGTTTTTGACTTTGTATACAGTGTTCGTACGTCCTAAACTTGAGTACTGCATACAAGCGGCTAGCCCTTGCTTAAAAAAAGACAGTGAGCTACTGGAAAAGGTTCAGAGAACGGCAACTAAGCTGGTTCCCGGAATAGTGAAGCTTCCGTATGAATCTCGACTGGCCAAGCTGAACCTTTTCCCGTTGTCATATCGCAGAACTAGAGGCGACTTGATTACAGTCTACAAATTGCTTAGTGATAAATTTGCACCTAACATGCCCTCATTTTTCTTGTCTTCCAAAACAGAGAATTTACGAGGACACTCCAAAAAAGTTCACAAGCCGAGAACAAATTACTTGTCAGCTGACTATCGACTTTCCCATCGAATCATCAACGAGTGGAATTCGCTACTTCAGCACGTGGTTGAGGCTCCATCCGTCGACTCTTTCAAAAAAAAGTTGGATCAACTGAGAGACCACCATTGCCAGGACTAACATAGGCCATCGAGCCTCCTGTCCTTCCCAAACTGAAACAGAAACTAAAATCTAGTTTCCGATGTAGAAAAACAACAACTTGCAGTCAACTACCATCATTTAGTGTCTACGCTGCATTTATGAAGACATTTAAGAGTCTGGTAAGGTGGCTTTTTAAATCAAATGCAAAACAACTCCTACAAACATCACGAAAATATTGCTTTCATGTTAGTCACATCTGCTTAACAAATCACTTTACTGAACATAAATGAACCTCAATAGGTGCAGCTTTTAACTCTACCCATGCCTATGGGTGATTTATTCATGAAAGTATTGTAAAGAGTGACACTTGGTTCATCGTTTTCTTAAATAACAAATCTATTTTAGAAAAAACCGGACAAACCAATCCTGGTGATGTACAAACACTTACGAGCCTAATAATTTGAAACGCTCACAATCAAACGGCACTGTAGAGTGCGGTGACAAATAAATCCTCGAAAAAACAGCCATACAGACGTCTGATGATGGCATTGGTCGGTTTAGTCCTAGCAGATACTAACAACTAGAGGCGCCTTGTCAAGCATATGCTTCTTTTGGTTAACACAACCTGGATATTAGTCTCAAATTCATCTACCTCTCCCTTGAACAAATTTGTAGCTTCTACCGGTAGAAGTTCTCATGATAACTGACTGACAGTTTTAGAAAGCTTGTAATGAAATCCGTGGATTTCAACCAACATTATAATAGTGCAATCAATATTGACTGACAACAGTCAAGTTAATAAGTAATATAATTGAAAATGTCTGCAGTAAAAACTAACTCATGTAGACAGATACAAAAAACGCGATACCGTCTCCCGGCACTCAAAGATTTGCTAGTTCTGACGACCTTGATTAAGATATATACAAACAAAAAGCTCAGGCTCACTAAAATCAAATTACTAACAGTATTAAGACCTGCCCGATAGAAAGATACTGAACAAAAAATTCTCAAACCTCGTTTTTATACATTCATTGGCGCTGAAGACGTGTAGAATGTTTTTCTTTTCGGCCGGCCAACGTAATTTCGAAAAAAATATCCCAAAGGAATCCTGCAAGATGATGTTTTGTGTAAATAACATCGTTAAGTAGGGTCTCTGGGAAAGATGATAATTCGTTTCTTTACGTTTAGGAGTATCTCTACTCAACGATTACTACAGTTTTGCCAAGAAGGACGAGAGTAATAGACCCCGGTTAATTATGATGACTTTCTCTATGTCAAAGGTGGAGGCCTCTACTCTGGAGATATTTCATGCTTAGAGAGATCAGATATCAAATGGAATGAATGTGATGAAAACCCATTATCTTTACTTGAATGTAAGGTTAACACTTTCTATCCCTTTTATTTGCAACTTCCCTACAAATTCTGATTTGAAAGGATATAGAATCATTCACCTTGTCTCCAATTATAGTCTTTTAACCTATCTCTTGATGTTTAGTTTCTCAATGTTCGACTCAATGTTTTTACTCAGTCACCGTTATCGATGGCAGTAAGATTTAGTGAATGTATTTCTGGTTATTGTTGCTTTATTCACTAGATTGAACATCCCTAAGAGATAGATGTAACACATTCCGTTAGTTATAAAAGCGTATTACTATTGAGGAATTAGATCGTTCACTTTCTGAGAGAGTCAACGGTTGATTACTGACCTATGATGCAGATTGAACTGATCCTTTTTTGTGAGTACCTGTTAGTTGTATATATTTGGTTAAAAATTATTCAGGTACTGTACATTTACACCTTTTTATTTCTTTTTCATTTTCATTTACACTGTTACAATCTGAGTTAAATGGTTGGGAGTTAGTCGACAACCTTTCATTAGGATTAAAACTTTACAGGTAAAATATATATTTACTTCCTTCTTTTGAGTGATCATTACATTTCCTGTTTTTCTGTGTTGAATAGTAAAGAGTCAATATGTTTCAATTAGAGCTTCATGTGTTTCAGCTATTTGTTGATAAATCCAGTGAAATCACCTTTGAAATTTTCTACATCTAGTGAACAAGGATCATGTATAGATCAAACGACACTTGTTTATCAAGTTATTTTCCTTCTGATGACTGGGCTCTGTAGGCGAATAAATATCATGTCTGCGGCTGTATAGGAGAATAATCCAGGGCTGTTTATGTTTTGAACGTGACACTAGTGATATAGTTTGCCTGTGTATTCAGATTACTTTTATATCTGTGTAAACCCCATTCAAGAAAACAGAACAAGGATACACATGTGTTTCGAAACGAATGCAACAAGTATTTACAAACAAAAGCTGCATGTCCACCATACAAAACGGGTGATTTAAGTGAAATATGCTATACAAATAATAATAATAATAGTTCATCTTCAAATAACAGTTTGGTACATGAGGCATTCCAGTTTACAAGCAAGATCAAGCTGTTAAAAAATATATAATTACCACTGTAGTAAATTACTCAACTGGACTGATATTTTATTAGATATGAATGTACATGATTATAGTAAGGCTCGTATTGTCAATATCACAGTTGGCGTGCTTTATGAAGTTTACGTTGCGACGAACGACTGATGGTCGAGAGTAGATCCATGTGAAGTTGAGGGCCTTTAGAAACCACAACCTTATATCCCTCTGGAATATCTGAGGGTTTATTGATGTCTCAGGACGAAGTCACACGTTCAAAATCTGTTTTCGATGGCAAATCTCAAGGGGGTTGAAAAAAATTTAAGAAAAAGAAAGGACGAGAAGCAGACAATATTCATGGGGGGAATAGATAAAGTATGGTTGTAGTGAACAGAACACAGGTGTATTTGACACAAAACTGCAGAACTTGTTGGTAAAATCTAACAACCATATAGTAAATGCTCAATTTGCAAAGTGACTACCAATTGTCTCAAAATGACTCAGACTTCATTGTTCTTGCATTCTCATACAAATTGCATTCTGTTTCCATTCTTTACTGTTCGATCCTCTTGTCTCTTTGCTGTCAGACATTCTGTTCCTGACTGACGTCATAAACCACTAATGTCGGTATAAGTAGCATACGCCACATGACTACTCAGTCTACTTCTCTTTTATTAAGGTACTTATAAAGCAGGAGCCTTCTAATATGTTGAAAAATTAGCGTAAACAAGGTATGAATGAACAAAGAACTGTATAAATGAAGGTGGTTCAGAAAGAAGTTGAAAGTATGGGATTGTGTTTAGTTATAAAATATAGTGCCGAAAACAGTATTCTGATATACAAATGACTGCCTCCCATTTTCGTCGAAGCTGTTTGAGCCCTTTTTAGGTTTTATAAAGTCTTGAGCAGA